AGTCCGGTGGCACCTTAAAGACTAACAGATTTATTTGGGCATAAACTTTCGTGGGTAAAAACCTCGAAAGCTTATGCCCAAATAAATCTGTTAGTCTTTAAGGTGCCACCGGACTCCTTGTTGTTTTTGTAGAGTTCTAGGTTAGATATATTTACAGTACTTGCTTTGTGTGTCATTCTGCAGTCAATAATTTGGTGCATTATAATAAAAGACCATCTTCTTAAGATAAGTAATGCTTAGGGATCAGTGCACCCAAATACAAGAAAGGCAATCACTCAAATGTACAGTGAAATGATGTATACTTTAACTGTCTCTAGGCCTCTCTTCACCCTAACTATTTTCCAGATAAAGGAATGGTTACAATAGTATGTGTGTACATCTACAATATGCATGCATATACATAAAATATAAATACACACATATCCATACATAGCTGTTCTGTGTATGTGTGTGTATCTCTCTCTTTTAGGCTTGATATACAATTTTGAGTGACAATCCAGTGCTATGGCAGAAATGTCATAAATTTAATGAAAATTAATAGGATATGTTGTGTGGGTCCAATGAGGCAGCTTTCATCAATATGTATGTCAAACACTCACCACCAGATACCAGCAGTCTGTGATTTGCAGTGAGTGCTACGGCAGGGGTTTAGTTATCCAGTCTCTTATTTTACAATGGAGGAAAATATTAACTGAAGTACCAAGATATCAGTGAATGTAAAACTGCTGTTCACTTATTGAAAAGGGAAAAGAAATATTTATAGTCCATTGGTGTTAGGTTTTGATGCTTGTTGAATATATAAAGCTGTATAGATTAATGAAAGATTATTTCTTTTGGGGGGGAAGGCATTTTAACTACTACTACATTTCATATTTATCTCATTGGAATGTTACATATATTCTCATTTATAATTACCATTGTATAGCTTTGTATACTGTATGTACAAATGGAGAAAGGAAGAGGTTCACTTTGAGTGCCTTCATCTGTTTTCTCCAATCGCCAGTTAGATACAAATTCAACATAAGGAAAACAAATGTAAGGAATACCTTTCCATTGAATAATCAAATGGAAAATGAACCTAGTGTGATACTAACTGATGGACCAAGTACATTTAACTATTAGAATTCTCAGAATAGAATTTCTTTGACTTGTCTATATGCCACAGAAATTCTCTTGGTACACTATTAGCAATTACTGTTGTAATTCTGTGATGCGTAAATTGCATTTCCTTATTATTATTTTATTTTGTTCTGGATAAAAATCATTAACTGATCAACTGAATAGTTAGCATTGCATCTAAACAATGAGACAGACGAAGCTTAAATTCACGAAAATGGCTAAAATTCTCACTGTAATTGTTCAATACAAAGCTTCATAGCAGATAGTAATGGGCCGGACAAAATAGTTACAAGATGGAAAATTTGTGAAGGCACTATCCAAAGACTCATGATCATGAGATTCTCAGTCCTGCGTACAAGCTGTATTTGTAAATAAGACAGAGAAAGGTTGTGAACTGGCAGCTTGGATGTTTTGTCAAAGTACAATGTCAGA